GTCCAATAGCGAATATAGTATTACTACCTGATTCAAATTTCTTGTATGAATTAGAGACTCTCAATTGAACGATTACTGTAGAATGATGAAGCCGATCTTATTGAACATTTCCATCCACCAATGAAGAGTCGTTCTTAAAGTTGGATTAAATGACTTTTTAGAAATTTGATGATTAAAAGGACTTGTGTCATTCAAATGTAATACTGTTTTTTTCTAGCGGATTTTCTTTTATGTTTTTAGATTCGAAAGCGCAACTTTCTTTCCTTATACGGCTTATATTTCTATAGAGCAGCAAGCACTATCTATTTATTTTAAATGATTTTGTAACAAGCATTGTAAGATCATCAAAAAGGCAGAATACAACCGGCTTATTTGTTCATGGGTTACTCATTGTCGAATAATCAGATATAACTAAAATTATGTTAATAATGTTTGTTGCATTGACTACTCATGTCAACGTTTTTTTTCAAATTTCATATTTTTTTGTGAATTATGTGCATTTTAACATCCTCACGGTTAATTAAAATAAAGAGTTGTAAATCATATATTCACTTCTATCTGATAGAGAAATCTGCATCTAGTTCTTTATTCAAATGGCTAGGTCCCACCCTCATAAATTAGAATAACAATAGTTTAGATGTGTTGGAGTATTTTTTTAAATAGTTTTGTTCACAGGATACAAGTTAAATCAACAGTTTCAGCTGATTTAAGACTTGAATTACCGTAAAGAAATGTGACTATAGATGTGTCGATAAGATTCATGTATTTATAATGCAACCATTTGATATTCAACTGTATGCAGAATAAAATTAGTATTATTATCATTAACAGTTGAATCTTTTCAGACAAGATATATTTTCCAAATAACCTATAAAAAAAGTGGAGATAAGAAACTTGTTGAATCATCAGTACAAATTCAATAAAAATGGGTTTATCAACATCATACCATAAAACAAACCACTGATGTTTGATCCTAATATGAAAAAATATGAATTAAAATGTCTCCAGTCAAATCTATTTGCATAAATTAACATCGTAATAAACAGATAGAAAGTGTGAAAAATATGCTTTTGTTTTTTTTTTAATTTTATGCTGATAACTCATTGGAAATAAAGCCAGAATACAGTTCACTATTATATAGACTTTTTCGCCATGATGCTGTTCGACCGTGTTTTAAGGAATAATGTTCAGATTTATCAGAGATTATTGCTAAGATTAGTGGTGCTAGTAATAATCACCCATGACCATAAACGACTACTAATTGTTTAAGATTAGATTATTCACATGAAAAATAAAACAACATAGTTGTGACATTAAATAGACAATACTAATACATTCCAATCGGTAAAAGAAAAACTTCTTAGTTCAAAACAATTCTTTTTTTTTCATGTTTTGTGGTTTACATTATTATATATCATTAGTTGAAAGACTTGAACATATTCAAACGGTTTCATTTCTTCTTCATCATGAACAGTATGATGAGTATGGTTAAAATCTAGATAGTTATTTTCTACAGCAACTTATTCGTCATAGAAAATATTTAACATCCATATTGGGCAGTGATTGTGGGTCTTATTAACCTTTTGATGGCGGGGTTATTTTGGAAAAAAATAAAATTTCTCGTTGTCTATGTATTTAATCATAAATTAATCTACGTTTCTATTCTATTAAGACTTTTTTTTTTATAGATATGTGTGTTTGCAAGTTTTTCGAAGTGTAGTACAGTTCAAAACAAGATGCAACACATAAGCCAACATTGCATTGAGCGCAGTCATCTCTTGTGTCAGTTCTTTTTTTCCGATCTGTTGTTGTATTATTGCAGGCATGACGCCTTGGCTTCTTTGTTTCTTCAGCCGAATAACCTTGAATAAGTGAAGGGAAGTATCAAGCAATGAGCCTCAACGGATTGTCTAAAGATGATCTTTCTTTTTTTTCATTTTTTTTTTGACTTCCAACAGAGAAAATTTTCCGGTAGAAGTCAGCTGTATTGTATTTATAATGCATTGCTGATTATCACAGTAAAAGAATTTATAACTCAAATTACACCAAAAAAGTGCCTGAGAAATGCTCTCGTGAAAATTGATATCACTGATGATTTTATGAGTGTCAAGATACCATGAAATTACTGTGACTCATATTTGCGTCACCCACCGCCTAAGAATTAATAACAACATGATAAATGTAATATTTCATTTACCATACTAGCAATTTATGTTTCAGCATATTTGTCGATGCATTTACATTATCGTATAAATTAAACTGATCATGATTGGGTAAATGCACCAAGATATCAATTTCCACCAATGATCTGATAAACATGTCTTTTATTTGCAAATGAGAATTTAACTTATTTAGATCCAACATATACTGCTATTTGCTCAGATAAACATAATCCATGAAGAAAGGAATCACTTGCAACAGATTTTGATCATCTTATCAATTTAATAGAATTTGAAGAAGCTGCACGTAATAAAACAGGACAAGTTAAGCTATTTGTCATAATTACAGCTAATGGTGGACTAAATGAAAAATATGCGTTCTCTAACAATACTTCTTGCTAATATTCAAAAATTTTTAATAATACAATTTAGGTTTACTTTTTGTTCTACACACATGTGTCTTACCTAAATCTCTATTACTCAAAAAAAAAAAAAAAACATTTTTTTTTAGTATTGGTCAATCAGCTTACAATATAGTTAAGCGTTGTTTGGTATTGTTATTTCATGATTTAACTGGTCCTATTTAAGTACAGATCATTTTGCTTCACAATCAAATGATTCAAATGTTACAATAAATATTAATTCAAGTATATTTCATCAGCTTATGTTTTGCAAACACGTATTGACACATAAACAAATTCAAAACTTGTATGATTTAGATCAGTTTAGGTTTTGCGCTCGCTCCCTCCCCTCTTAAAATAGCATACCAATCATTGTACGAACATAGTCTAATTCGATTAGCAAGCTTTATGTGATAGCACTAAAGAAGTAAAGTTGTCATTATGCTTCAACGAATTAGTGACTTTGGGTCACTTGAAAAGAAACCAAGACCCATCAATCTTGTATTAAAACTTTCAGTATAGCTTTTTTCGTTTGAAAAAAGTCGTATTCACTGAAAACTTAGGTAATTGATAGAACTTGATTGCAGATATCCGAGATCGGATTACACGAATCTATCGGTGGTGTCTTAAGATTCTTCTGTTCTATCGTTTCAGTTAGAAGAAGTTTATTTTGCTAGCCAACGAACTTTCGCAAAGCTTGACCAAAATAACTGACAACTAATTATCTATGCCAGACAAAACTTAATTCATCAATTTTGAGAAACCCTTTATACAGTCGGATTACTCAACCAGAAATATATTCAATCTAGTTTTATCAATTACCTTAATATCCACTAAATATTCTTTCCTCCGTCAGAAAAAAATCGAATGGAAAATATTAATAAGTGATCGGTAAGCGTTACCTTCTTTTCAAATAATGAAAAATTGTCAGTTTACTGCAGCGTAATAGTAACTTATTTTCTCTTGAACTATTACATGAAGCTCACTAATGGATAAAAACTGTCGTATTAAAATAGTTAGTATTCTAATTCAACATGGAAGAGCAATACCCAAATCCTAAAAGCTTTGAGTCGATTTTGAGGCTAGGATATACCTAATCGTATGAAAAAATTCTAATAAAATTTATGCACAAGATTATGAATATTTTGATTATGGCGAAGATGATAGGTTATCATCAATAACAAATGACAGAATTAATTCAGATGAAAATCAATTCATAACAGCACCATTAGTATTTCAAATAGAAATATTCGATTAGCTTCATACAGATATTGATGAGTTTCATTTGGATCTAATATCGACACAATTTGCAAGTGCACATGTAACATGTAGTGCTTAGAGAAAATAAAAGATGAGCAAGATGACAAACATGATTGAGTACATACCAGAGCATATCAGGACGCCGGACTAGTCTCCTTCCATGCCGTTCTGGGATGATAAAATTGAAGATAAAACAAGACTGAATATGATCATCTGCGAAACGAAGCGGGAAGGGACAAGATTAATTCATAGTCCCGTTCCGCCACGTGTATACGAGTCAGAGTTATGGGTACTCTGAAAAAAATACAGGAGATTTACACAACCTTTTAGACTTCTGAAAGGTTTTGTGTTTTATCCAAAGGTCGAACCACTGAAAAAATGTTCTGGTCACGAAAAAAACGTTTCGACGAGGATGTCAGAACGATATTTTTATGTTGAGAGCTATTTTACAGAGATTCTGCTTTTGGGTAAACTACAGAACTTTTTAGTGGCTCAAAAGGTGCTTCAAATCTTTTTTTTCAGAGCATTGACACCTACATCACTGTCTAATATTGATCGAAGACATTTAGTAGTGAACATTTTTTTTTCTTTTTTAAATATTATTTTAGTTTAATACTCTCTCTTGATTTTTTTTGTTATTTATGGTTCTATAATCTTTATCTTATAACGATGAACTTGCCAATATTTCTCTATAGACATTATTTTTTTACGAAAATTGAAAGCAAGAATAAAAAAATCCTTTTATTATATCGCACACTCAAAGATATCTACACAAGATAGAATAAATTGATAGAATAAATATTTTATTTCATTTATTCAGACGAACGACAAGCACAATAACACTGATATAAAGAAAACCATCATAAATAGGTGTTACAACAATGCAACTGAAAACAATAATTTGTAACAGATACTTCTAGAGACAACTTCATAACTTAACTTCATATTTCTTTTCAATGAGTTACTATTACAAGTAATATTGAAAAAAATCAAAATCTTCAAATAACTGTTCAAGAAAATTGTTTCACAAGTACGAAATAAAAAAGAACATTGAGTTATTGAAACAAAGCAACAAATAAGCGATTTTATTGCAACAAAAAAAAAGCATTAAAACTAATAGATTTTTAATACCTTTCATAATGACTTTAATTTACCCATGTTTAAAAAAAGAAAGAAAATCTCATCGTTTATCGACAACTTCTCGTCGAAGTTTTGCTGCCATAGCTCGTCGTTTTTCTAATTCATCATTGGATATTTGTTGTTCTTGTTTATTTGTCGTTTCCATTGCTTTTCGTGCCACATTAACAGCTGATTGTGGTCGAACATGAACAATTTCTTTTTCTAATTCTCGAACACGCTGATTACGTTGTTGTCTAATAATTAAATCACGTTGTTGTTTAAGAAAGTTTTGTCTTGATGACATAACGGATGCCGTTTGATCATCAACGGATGATGTTGTACTTATTGTTAATTCTTTTAATTTTTCACGAAGAATATCTTCAGGAACTGAATCAATTGTTTTAGTTTCAATATTTGACTATAACAAAAGAATTTTTTTTATTGAATATTAGAATAAAGATACGTCAAGAAAAAAACCTTGGCCTCTTTTGATTGAAACTGTCGATGTTTATCAGAATTCATTTCCATTCTGTCGTTTCGTATTATATTCGATGAAGCTGTTGTAGAATTTTCTGTTGATTTTTTAGTTTTTGATGATGATATTGAAGTTGCTTTTAATAATAGTTGTAAAACTCGATCATCATTCGTATCTGTTTGTTTTAATATGCCACATTCTAATTGTAAATTAACCAATGCTTGTAATTGAAGAATTAAATTTTTTCTTTTCATCATTTCTGTAAATAAATAAAAATCATTTATTGAATATAATTGTTCATAAGATTCATCGATTGCTATTGAATTATTTTTTTGATAATGACATTTTACTTCATTTATATCTAATTTAAGATCTTCACTAAGACTAATTAGTAATGAATCAGCTAAGTTTTGATATTGTTTATATATATTTTTCTGTTCATTCAGTGAAGATAATGATAATTGATGATCATCATCATAATCAAAACCAGCACAATTTGTATCAATAAATGTTTGAATAGGTGATAACCAAATTGATGAGTGAATAAAATCATTGATTATATCACACATCCAATTTTCTTCATTAGACGCCATTTATTAATGTTTATTTTGAGGATTTTACTACCATAGTAAACGAAGAACAGTTGGGAACAACCTTATTTAGAAATATTTTTAAACTTTAGCGTCCTCTATTGAAAAAGAAATTTTTGAAATTCATCAAAACTATTTAATCCAATTAAATAAAAATTTTACTTTAAGAACGGTTCTTTTCTAACTTCTCTTTTTGTTCACATCTTGACTTTTGTTTTCAAAATTTATTTAACAACATAATGTTGCCAAAAGTTCGTCGTTTTCTTAATAATACTAATAACAATTCCTATACAATAAATAATAAATTAGCTTCATCAACTGATCGTTTAAGTAATAAAAGTAGTAGTTCAAGTTCAGCAGATGGAAACAATGGTAAACTCTAAGAATTCATTTTATATTCATCTATTCTCCATTGATTTAGTGTACACAGAAACATTGTTATATATTGTACATGTTGACGAAATTAAATTAACAAATGATCAAGAACCTGATACTAATGATAAACAAAAATCTAGTCAAGTAACAAGAAGAGTATCAAAACGGACAACAGCCAGTTTTAATGAACGACAACAAAATCAAGAAATTCAAACATCAAATGTGCTCACATCAACACCACCTTCATTTAGTTTTTCAAATCCATTTCGACGTTTGAATAGTAATCGAATAGAATTCATTTTTATTAATCGGGGTGGCGCCAATTAAATGGGACAAAATTATTTTCTTTTTTTTTTCGAACACTTCGATACACTTTCAGAACTTATAGGAGAACTACCCAAACTGATACCCATTGTTTAAGCTCATATTGGGCTCACAGGAGATCTCAGTAAGACTAGAAAAAGCTTATGCCCATGAGCCTCTGAAGTCGAGTTATGACCATTTTTACTGAATTTTCAATCCAGCTTTAGGTACTTACAAAAAAAACCAAATAGTAGAAATTCGATCTGAAATTTCATCTATGGGTAGGTCTGATAACTCTGGAAACATTCTGACAGCTGCAGCTGCACAGAGTGTGTCTTCATCGAAATGTTGAATTTTCAAGCAAACTCGATTTTTACGTCAAACAATCGTTTTTCAGAAATTCAATATCTCTACAAAAGAGCATCCTTTTCGACTGACACTTTCACAATATTCCCAGAGTCATCAAACCTATCTGTAGGCAAAATCTCAGGTCGAAATTCTCTTATTTGATTTCTCGGTAAATATGAAACAAAAATTCAATAAAACGGTGGTAACTAGGCTCCAGAGACCAATGAGCACGAACCCTTTTCATATTTTTCTATTCTTACCGAGACTTCCTTGTGAATCAAAAATGAGTTCAAATAGCTAGCGCCCGTTCGAGTAGTTCTATAGTTATTCGACAGAGAATTTTTCTTTCCACAAAAATGTGGACTTTCGTTTTCAAGCAACCTTTTCTGGCGAGAGAAAAATGGAAACAATTAACACCTCAAATTAGCCAACTCTGATACTCAAAAGAAAACGACAATATGATGCAAAAATTTAAACAAACATTCATCTGAAATTTTGGATAATCCGTAAAATTCTCTACGAAATTCTTCACTCTTTGTTGTATATTTCAGAATTTTAGAAGAATCTTTTGCAAGAAAACAGATTGGAAGCAAAAAAATGTGAAAATGCTTAAAAACCTTTTTTGAGAAGATTATCTGAGTGTTCTTTTCTAATTCAAGATGACGTAATCGTTATTAATCTTCAAGTTAAGAGTCACATCATTTTGTTCACAGTTATATTGTACATCTGACGGCTTGAGAATGAACGTTTTATAAAGCAAATCTTGCTTTTGAAAACATGATTTTTCAAAATCTTCTAAAAAATCCCACTAATTCTTGATTTAATGCTTTTTCTCCTAAACAAAAGCACCAGAAATCTTGAAAACATCATAGAAACAGAAAGTCAAAAATTCTCTACCCACGGGTCCTAAATGCTTTACTTTTATGATCAATCTTTAGGAGCAAATACTCATACTAGTCGATAAGTATCTGCTGAAAATTGTAGTTAGACAATTGAGAAGATGTTCATCTTTTATATTTTGCTCTCATAATGAAAGGTTGTTTGAAAAGGTGAATCCTTATTTTTGTAAAGCGAAAAACTCTCTATCGAATAAGCACGGAATACAGTTAAGAAAGTGTTCAAAACAAAGAAAATGATTATGTCCCGTTTAATCTGAACCACCTATTATTTTCATTGTTTTTTCGCGATAGATTTACTTAAAGCAACTGATAAATCTATCCTAAGTCCATCAACACCTAACCTCAATGGTAAAACAGCAATTGATAAATTTCATACTTCTTTTTATTTTACTTTTACATTTACAGTGACGCCATTATGTTCGTCAACAGCTAAAAAGTCTTCTGCGTTTAAACGATCTCGTTCACAAAATCGAAATAGTAGTGAACTGTTTCCTCCACCTCCACCTGAATTTCTCAATGATAATCAAATAATTAGCACAGGAAAACAACCAAATATTCAAGCCAGTGGTCCTGGTCTAAAAGATGGTTTTGTTAATGATCATTGTTCGTATAGTTGTTCTTTTTTTTTTTATTTGAAAAAAAATCATTATTTTAAATCGAAGGTCATTTTGATTTAAATGCACCTGATACTGAATTACAAAAACTTGTTATTGCTATTGATGGTCCATCCAAAGCTGATATTCAGATTGAAGTTATTGATACAGGAATCTATCGAGTTTATTACAAATGTCAATCACCTGGTAAGTAAAAATAATTTGCAGAAAAAAATAATTACGTTGTATATTCAGGTAAATATCATATATCATTGACATATAATGGTGCACATATTGATGGTTCACCTTATCATCTATCACTACATGTTCAATCATCTCAAGAACAAGTTGTTCCACCTGCGAATATTCCAATTCGTGCAATTATTGAGCCCATAGAATTTTACGTATGATTCATGATTTTTGAAACTCTGAACTTATCGTTGATATATTAAGGTTAATACTCCATGTGTAGTCAATGTTCGTCCAGAAACACCGTGTAGTGTTTTTCAAGCTTATATACAAGTACCACAAGGAAATATTAATTTACCGATAACAGTTCATAAATCAGCTAAATCAGGTCAGATTAAATAAATAATTATTTATTGATTAGACGTTTTTCAACGGAAAGAACAACAAAATAGAAAGCTTTTTCTTTCTAGCATCAGCTGGTTTTAATAGAGACAGATATTCTTGGATTTAAAATAGTAAGTTTAAGAGTATCCATCTTTCGTGACCCAAAATTTTTGTTTTTTTCGTGACTATTACATAGTTTGAAGTAGTATCTCTCGACTGAATACTTTTTGAGATCCAAAGGTTGTCTTTCAACGTAAAACAAAAAACAAATTTACGTAATGAAAATAGCCAAAACTGTACATTATTTCATACTTTTCTCAAATTAACTTTGTCATGAAAAAAAGTGCAGAAGCGCCCCGGCTTCTTCGGCCTATCCAGCTAAAACTTTTTCGCATATACTATACACTATTTGGCATCGGTAGCTTTTGTTTCAAAAAATATTGTTCTACTGATTTCTGGAAGCGCTAACAAAAAAAGTTGGATTAAAGAAAAAACATACTCTTTTTTAGAATACCTTCGATACTTTGGCTTTCTAAATCGAAGGATAACAAAGAAAAATAAAATAAAAACGATATCCGCTCCAAACGATGTCTAATTTCTGAAAAAAAAATTCCAGCTCGATCGAATATAGCATTTCGAAGAAATGGAAGCAAAAATTGGAGCTATTTTTCGTTATTATGATCCCACTATCTAATAGAAGACAGCACCCGAAAACTTTGAATCTATGACAACTTTTGCTCTACTCGTCATGACCTACCTGCCATGAAAAATGTTTGAAATTCTTGTGATGAGCGATTCTCCAGTAACCTTGGAAAGCAGGTACCTTAAGCTAATGATACGGAATCATGGATCGAAATTTCCTCTACAATGAGAGACGTGAATCTTACTCCATGAATCAACTATTTTCGAGTTATCTGTTAATTACAATCTGAATTTTTTTGGACAGAATTTCATCAGGTATATCTATAATTTAAGATACAGAAAATCTAGTTTTTAAAAAAAATAAGTTAATAAAACTTTTTATTTTTTATTAATTTAGAATCTTACGAAATTTTTTTTATACCAAATACATGTGGTAATCATTGGCTTAATGTAAATCTTAATCATATACCCATTATCAATAATCCTTGTCGATTAACTGTACGGTCATGTTCCTCTATAAAATCAACAGTTAACAGTAAAGAAGAACTATTTCATGCATACATTGGTAAGCATAGCTGCGATGGCCGAGTGGTTAAGGCGTTGGACTAGAAATCCAATGGGATCTTCCCGCGTAGGTTCGAATCCTACTCGTAGCGCTCTGTTTTTTTTTCTGTTCTGTCATGTAATAATGGTAAATGAATGGAAGAACGGAAATACAAAAGAGTATCGGCACGTGGATTTTTGTTTACGCTTCTTTTTTCTCAGGAGAATTAAGTCAATTTTTTGTATCAAAATCACCATATGATTCGTCATCGAGTACAGGAAATTTTTCTGTTGGTATCAGTGGACCATCGACTGTTTTTCTTGATGCTAATGAAACTGAATATGGTTATGAAGTAAGTACTTCATCATATAAATTCATTTAAAATTTAATAAATTTTTATTTTAGTTTCATTATAAACCAATTCGAAGTGGAAAATATTTAATAACAGTTAAAAACAATGGAAAAAACATTCAAGGAAGTCCATTTATTTGTTTTGTTTATGGTTTGTTGAATTTTTAAAGAGAATTTTTGTTTCAAAAAAATATTATTTCAGATAAGCTTAAAGAAAATCAAACAACTAGTTGCGACATATTAGGACCTATTCAATCGAGATTAAACTATGCTAATAGCCATATCGATCTTGATACTCTTCGTTCATCAATGACAGGTGATGCTTCACAAATTTGTGTGTTTGGTACTGGTCTATACGAAGCTAAAAAACGACGAAAAGCAACATTTAAAATTGATGCTAGTCAATCAGGTTTTATATGAATAAATTTAAAAAATATTTATTTCTTATAAATTGTTAATTATATTTAGGTCCTGGTATACTTTTAGTTGGTCTTTATTCTCCTCTTGGACCTTGTGAACGTCTTGTGATCAAGCGTATCATGCCAAATTCTCCTGGTTTTATCTATAAAGTATCTTATCGAGTACGAGCACGTGGCCAATATCTATTAGCAATTCTTTATGGAGTAAATATGGAACATGTGCCTGGAAGTCCTTATCTCGTGCTTGTCGAGTAAAAAATCAAACTAATTAAATTACATAATTTTCATATCTTTTTTTTCGGTTTTTCTATTTTATGTATATGAGTGATTGTTTTGTTTTTCTTGAACGTATGCTTTGTTCTTTATTCTCTCGACTATTGAAACAGTGTGTGTGTGTGTGTGTGTGTATGTGTGTGAATTGCAAAAAAAAAGACCAAGTTGATGAAGAATAAATGAAAAGCTGACTGAAAAAAATTGGTTTATTATAAAAACAACTATCAAGAAAAAAAGCAAAGAAAACATACAACAATTTTCACATTTGGTAGTCAAGTTGAAAAACGACAGTGTTGTGGTATGGTGGTTTTTATTTATTACATCATTAGTTGAGTGTTCATTTTTTGATAATTTGATTGAAGTTGCCATAGTTTCTCGTTAGCAATTTAGGTTCTTTTTGAACTTCTAGAAAACAAAAGTAGTCTGCCATCGATGTAGGGATGAACCCTTTTAAGACGAGCGCACAGAATTCTGTGTGCTGTTTTACAATTTCTTAACTTTGAATAACTCGTGAATGTTAGAAAGATTTCGAGATGCCATAATGCAGTTTTGTCGATTGGTCTCAAATATGTTATTTATTTTGCGTACAGTTATATGCAAAGTGACAAAAAAATGCAAAATAAATGAAATGAATTGGAGTTAGTCTGAAATCTTTTTGACAGTATTTAACTTATGGATAGTTTCTCCGTATATTTTAGTTATTATATTTTTATATGATTATGACGGACATTAGCTACAGAGATTATGTTAGAATGAACGATCTTTAGCTTCTCACCTTTATCTCCTATGTGTGTTTCCAAAGTATGTGTTCATTTTTCATGAATTTGTCGAACCATATAATATCTAGTTGATCATCATACTTTATTTTAAGAGGGATTACAACTTCAAAAGTAACACTCAGTCGTGAAATAGTTGTATTGCAAAAACTACTAAGAGCTAACACTTCAATTTCAGATTGTAGATAGAGAACATTTGGGAGTACATTTTGATAAAAAGACAAAGTTTTCACTCTTTTGACTCACGAATTGTTAACATTTTATGGTAAAAAAATGAAACATTTATATTTTACGAACCATGTAGGAAAAGAAGACTACAGTTGTTAAACGATCAATATGCGCTATTAATAATGATCATAGAAGATTAGAAGTCCATAACTATCATAATCGAACAATTGTACCCAAAGGATTAAAAGATGAAAATAGGATAAGAATAATCTGATAATACGAAAGCGAAAGATTAGTAATGTCTTAGCAACTCTGTAATGATGTCTAACATTCTCATAGTTATATGTAACTATCATAATTATTTGTCGATTTGTACTAAATGTCTTTTTTGACTGGGTATAACATAGTCATTTTGTGCATTCTATTGAATATGGAACACATCGATGGAAACTTGATGTTAACTATTCGATTTTGAACGTCTCTGAATTAAGGCAACATTTGTACATAAATTTTGAAAGACAATCATTGAAGAAAATGATTTGAGAAGCACATGGAATGAATTATTTACACAGAGATATTCCGAGATCGAAGTCTCAGGAGGATGATTGAAAGTTTCTTGCTAAAGTTGACCAGATTTTTGCAGGAGAGTTAAGCAGTTTTGGGGGAATCCATGAGCAAACAAAGGACAAAAGATGTTGGAACTCTGCTGGAGAATAACGAAAATTTTCCAAGATTCCAAAGTTGCCTTCTCAATCCACTTCACCCGCTTGAAACATTCATGCATTTATATCAAAGTTATCATAATTAAAGAATCTTTCTTAGATATTTGCTGTTTTCCGATATAATGCAAATTTGAATATAGAAAAATTTGATCATTTCGAAGCTCCTATTTTGATAAAACCATTTTTGAATAATCCTAAAGCCAGTCAACTTGAATAGAAATAAATAATTAAAAATAATTTTCTACGAATCTAATCATCAATATTATAATTTAGAAATCATTACGATGAGTGACCGATCTCAACGAACTCCTTTACCTTCCACAAGACCATCAGGTGAACATATTTATACAAAATTACAAGTACAGTTTGGTGGTGATGTGCAAGATATTGTTTTAAAAACCGAAAAGGAACCTACATGTGGTGATCTAGCTAAAGTATTACAACATATATATCGTATTACAATTGATCATCAATTGGTTTATTATCGTGGTCAACGACTTCATCATCGTCATCCATCATCTTATGAGCGTCCTCTTTCAAAATATGGAATTTTTTCAGGAAATATAATTAAATTAGTTGGCAAACGCGGATTACTTTAACCAATTGAATGTTTATTTTTATTTGAACAGAGAAACAAAAAATTTTCAAACTCCTTTTTTCCTGTGTGGAATGCAAATTAGAAAAAAAAATATGGAAGACGATGACTAATAGATATCATATCGTGAAAAATATCTTATTTGTATAGATGAGGCGTAGATGATGAAGCATTTTCTATTGAAGATATTAGCACAGTAGTTAGACTTTATACTGGATCACATTGTAATAGACGAATAATGGACGGATCTGATTTAGCACCTATAAATAAATTGAATGATTTTTGATTATAATATAAAGATATTATAAATATTACCTTGAATAAATTCTTCACGTGTTAATTTTCCATCATGATCAGTATCAAATGTACTGAAAATCTGAAAGAAAATTTCAAAGAAACTTATTTTTCTTAAGCAAAATAATTTTTACTTTATCAGTTCTTTTCTCAGGTGTTGATTCATCTTCAGGCATTTTAATAACGGAACCAACCATTTGATAGATTGCCTAAAAATCAATATTACAGTAAATTTCAATTCTTGTTTCTTTTTTAAGTTACAGTAATAATTTCAAGCATTTCATCTTTTGTTATAAATCCATCTCCATTCGTATCATAAAGACCGAATGCCCAATTAAGTTTTTCTTCCAGATTTCCTTTAGATGTAATACTTAATGCAGTAAGAAATTCTCGAAATGATATTCGTTGATTATGATCAGCATCAAAACGTCGAAAAACATGTTCAGCAAAAGCTGTAGAATCACCATTAGGAAAAAATTGTGCATAAATTTTTTTAAATTCATCAGACGTTAATTCTCCACTTGGACAATCTTTATGAAAACATTTATACCACTCTTCTATAAAATATAAAACAAAAACTTTTATATTTAATTCATAGAAAAATAATTTTTGCTGATTACATACTAATTTCTGCATCGGTAAATGTAGTCATATGACGAAAATAGTCTAAATCAGCTTGTCGAAGTTTACCAGGAGGTTTATTTCCCATTGGGATAAATAAAAAAGTGAAACAAAAAGAACAAAAAGAAAAGGTTTATTGCTTCAATCACGATATCGCAGCCATTTTAAATCAAATACACGTACACAGTAATCAGTTGTCAAGTCTTATAGCGAGCAAATAAGATAATAGTTAAAAGAAGAAGAATATAGCATGCAGTGTACTCTGTCGTTTGTTTCTATTGGTTATTTACACTATCCAGTCAATATTATGCTTATTTTGTTCCTCTAGTGGTTTGTCGAATTTATCTTTTCTATACATATTCAAAGGAATCTAGTTCTCAGAACGGTACCATTATTACAACCTATTGTTAGTCAATACAATTCTTTTAATAAGTACGTCACTTTACCATTTACTAAATAGTCAATTGTCAATGAATTTAATATTTAATTCAATATTTATATCATAAAAGAAACTGCAGTATATGAAGATATGTGTCTATTTAGCTACTTTACATTATATAAAAGCGACCAACATAGTTGTTTTTTCGTTTGTAATAAAACATATCTCTGAAGCTTCATTTATTTGAAAGTTTTTTAACATGAATGTTACTAAGATGATTTTATTTATAGAGATGACGAAAATCATCTACAAGATGTGCATGAATTTATTTTTATTATTAAAAACGTTATTTGAAGTTTATGCATATAATTCTTTTTTTAAAAGTCTTTGCAGATATTTATCGATATGGTCGAAGATACGAAAGTAGATGCAAAGAGTGAGTCGACAACTCCTCTTCTATCTGCTAATCTATCTTACCCAACACGTCCATATGTCTCTCAAATGCCTGCATTAATGCGTATGATTGGTCACTATACAGATTCTGGTCGACCTATGCCAAAATCGGGTTCACCTGAAGCAGAAACAGTTATTCGCATTCAACAAGAAGATGAACAAGAGCAAAAACTCGCTTATAATAAAGATGTTCAACCTATAGAACGTATTAATCCATTTGTTCGTTGGCATAGACGATGGTATCATAGTAAAGTTGTTGAACCATCACCAACTATTGGTCTCTATTATTCACCATTTAATATGGCTATTGAACCTTGGGCTATGGGTTTAGGTAATACGGGATGTGCTAAAATATTTAAACAATATCGTATGTGTACACATATGGTAAAATTTTGAAGAACAATTCATTTAACAATATTTAAAAAAAAAACGATTTGTTCTTTTATAGATGCCAAGTACTCATCGACACTTGTGTGAAGATGAAAAAGATGATGTTAAAGAATGCATGCATGCACAAAAACGAGTAAAAAACTACTATACATATTTTAATGCATATTTTAATATCTTATTTTCATTAGATTCTTCGTCATCAATACATGTATCAACATCGGTAAAATAAAAAAACTCTTTTTAATCCTTTTCCAATTTGTTAAAATTATTATTGTTTTTCTCTTAATAGTGTTAAGAAAAATTTACCATTTCCAGAAGACCCAATAATCGATGGTTACAATTGGCCTTCGTTTAAATATTTGAATTGAACGATTTGTCTTTTGCTTCCATTCTCACTGACTATCCTGAGTTTGTATTTAGTTTTTGTTTCGTTTTTTTTTCTCCATCAAATAAACTCTAGGAACCCTTTCAATTTAAATGATAAAAAAAAAGCATAGTATTTTATTTTAGATAGAATAATGGCATCATTTATGCTTAGACGTATATTTCAACGTGGTTTTAGTCGAACAAATTTTCAACATGCA